CCCTTTAGTATTCTTGCATCGTCACATCGAAGAAAATTTTTACTAGCCCACGTGTTTGTGGATAGGATAAAACCCTCGTATAACTCCAAGTTCGTCGTCGTCATCGTTGTCAGAAACCTCTGTACGTTTCTCAGTGCGAACCTGAACGTTCCTGTTTTCCTCCCCCAAATATCATACGATTCGGTAAATAACTCTAACAAATATTACACTCCACTAAACCTCGCGTTTTCAACACGTTTATACATTTCCTCCATACAAAAAATGTCAAACGATTCGAGAAATTTATTTAAATTCGCTAGGCGCCGAGAAATCTTTCGTCCTAAGAAAATCCGATTCATCATATTCCATATACACGCAATAAAAACTCGCAAAAAATTAGTTTTCTTCTCTTCGTTCCATCCCACGTGTCACAAAAAAATTGCATTCCATTCTCGACAAGTATATTCCTTTTACAGACCCGCCATATTTCTTTTCGCAGACGCCATTTTGTTTTTGGACACCGATCGGTCCCAGACACTTTCTCCCCCTTCCCATACTTTTTCGTCTAGCATTTCGACAACCAATCGTACACATGGGGCACTATGGGTAGAGCCAATCACGCGCCGGGCAGGCTACCCACTTACTACTTAGGCTACGGAGTTAGCCAATCAGAACGCTCCCACTAATTACCTAATTATCATCTCCCACGCCCACCTACCAATCAGAACGCTCCATTTCCACGTGGCTGCTAGTTTTTGGTCGGAGGCCACGCCCTTGACGCCAGTGGGAAGGTGGTGGGGGTTTGTTTTGACGCGCCGTGGCTACCCACTTACTACTTAGAAATTTGATTATAAAGCTGTTAGACGAAAATTATATTGTAACAATGGTTTATTCAATTAAAGAAAAATTAACAGTGGGTAGTGCGATGGATTGTACTCTTCGCGAATAAAATTGGCCGTGAACGGCGAGACGGCGATCGGCGCGTGTTTACTATTTTTATGCGAATAAGGTATCGCTCCGGCGGTCGGCGCGATATTGATCGCTGCGCGGGGCGCGCGCGGCGGCGGCGATGTCGCACGTGTTCGGACCTTTAAATCTCCGTGGATTTAAAGCGCGTGCGGGCGTTGTCGCGAGGGTAAAGTTTTCGCGAAGTGTTCGGACCATTCAGGTCGGAGAACGGATGGGTCCGTTCCCTGCCAAGAGAGCTCGGCTGATGGGGGGAGTATCCCTCATCTGTCTCGAGAGTGCCGAGTAAACTCGGCCAGCCGTGGAGAGCTTCAGCTGTGACGAGAGATGGAGGTGTCGGTGTCGAGTGAACTCGGCCGACCAGGGTGTATCTCGATGCTCGGAATTGGTCAGTGATATGGGGGAGAACCCGGCGGTGGAATTTGGGAGACGGCGGAGTCGGATCGAGCGAACTCGATGCACTGAGGAAACCTCAGCAACTCTCGGCTTGCCGTGAAAAGCTTCAGAGACGGCTTTCGGCCAGGCCAAGCGAACTTGACGCGTTAGAGAGGGCCCCAACAGAACTCAGGCTTTTTACC